ATGTCCCAACGATTGTACAAGTTCTGTTATGCCTCGAGATAGTGTTCCTGATCATTTGACCCAGTGTCCATTGGAGCCAGTAGATTGTGTGTTTAGTTGGGCTGGTTGTAATGATAAGCCATTACGTAAAGATGTAGATAAACACACTGCTGATACTAAACACATGACACTATTAGCTGTAGCTTGTGGACAATTGAAGAAAGAAAATGAACAAATAAAAGAAGAAATGAAAAAAGAAATCGAAAAATTAAAAGAAGAAAATGAAAAAATTAAAGTAATAAATGCTCAAACAGTGTCTCGTCTTAAAGTCATTAATTATGATTCACATCCTATTCTACCAGTCACAGTTAACAAACGTGGTGATGTTGTTCATTTCTATACTGAGCTTGGTGGTCATCATATGTCAGCCGCCTTTCTTGAACCAAGACTCTACCTTGCGTTTCATGTTGGAAAGTTTGATAAACTACGTGCATTTTCCCAGCCTAAAATTCTATTCAAATATGATGGTGATCAGCATGCACAGCCTGTACAGACAAAGTCGTATAGAAAAGTATATAATAATATTCTCACACAGGCAGTAATGAAACTGTCAAAAAGACAAGATGATGGACTAACTTCCATACATATTGTTAATGTTACCAGCATTGAAATTACACTTACTTCTTCTAATGAAGTCACTGTGATAGGGTACGATCCATTCAGTGCTGCAGATTAAATGCTCCTATTGAATTATTAGTTCTGTTGGTATGTCTCGGCATGGTGAAGGAACATTGTCCCTCAATGTGTGTTTATTTTGCTCGAGAGTACCAATAATGTGAACAGTTTTAGCTCAAGTTATGTATGTAATTAATTGCTAATTAAATAATGGTGTTTTTTGCATAACTTTAATAAATTCTTGTAATGTTATTAAACCAGTTCCATCTCTATTGGCTTCAGTAATCATACTATCAACATCATCTGGAGACAATCTACATAAATTATAGAGTGATAAGAGGAACACACCAATGGTATCTAATTACTTTAATCCATAATTCTTTGAAATAGCCTGCAAATCTTTAGCAGATAATTTACCATCACAATCATTGTCTAAAAACTGAAAAGCCTAACAAGAATATCCTCCATTGGTAATTGCAAACAATAGTCAGTTTACTTGTTCTATTTCTCCATAACTATCATAAGCAGAACCGGTGTATAAAAGTGGCCAAATTGAAAATTCTTTGTCTTTCATTTACCTTATTTGATTCTTTCAGCTACAGTAC